GGCCCCCCCAAAACCCCCTGATTTGGCCCTTTCTCTTTTGGGTAAATAAAAAGGGGGGCGCCCCCAACCCCCTTGATCCCCCCTTGCTTCTGTGGTGTGAAAGGGGGGGCAGTACCTAAACTTCCCCTTTTCGGCCCTATTTCTGGGGGGGAAAAGGGGGGGAGCTCCCCCAACCCCCCTGATGGGGCCCTTCTCTTTGCATGAAAAAGGGGGAACTTCCCCAACCCCCCTTAATGGGCCCCTTCCTCTTTTGCTTGATGGGGGGGGGCAAGTCCCCAAACCCCCTGATTGGCCCCTGTTCTGTGAGTGACAGGGGGGCCAGCGCCCCCAACCCCCCTGAATGGGCCCTGCTCTGTGAGTGACAGGGGGGGCAGCCCCCCCAACCCCCTGATTGGCCCTGCTTTTGTGCATCACAGGGGGTGGCGCCGCAACCTCCCCATTGAACCTCCCTTTGAGTGTTACAGGGGGCTGTGCCCTAACCCCCCAATCAGCCCTACCCTGAGCGTGACTGAGGGTGGCATCGCAACCTCCCAATCCGCCGTGCTCTGTGCATGACAGGGGGCGGTGCCCCAACTCCCCAATCAGCCCTGCTCTGAGCCCGACCAGGGGCTGCACCTAGGGATTGGGCCTGCCCTCTGCCACTCAGGAGCAGGCCTAAGCCAGCAGGTCGTTATCTCCCGAGGGGTCCCAGACTGCGAGAGGGCACAGGCCAGGCTGAGGGACCCTCTCTTCCCCCCCCCGAGTGCACAAATTTTTGTGCACCGGGCCTCTAGTCCTATATAATAAAACCCTAATATGCAAATCAAACAAACGGCAGAACGACCAGTCACTATGATCTGCACTGACCACCAGGGGGCAGACACTCAATGCAGGAGCTGTCCCCTGGTGGTCAGTGTGCTCCCACAGGGGTAGTGCCGTTCAGCCAGAAGCCAGGCTCACGACTGGTGAGCGCAGCGGCAGTGGTGAGAGCCTCTTCCGCCTCTGCAGAAGCACTAAGGAGCAGCAAGTCAAGCAGTAAGGAGCAGCGAACAGGCAGGTGGTAAGGAGTGAGGGATCCCAGACTATGAGAGGGATGTCCACCAAGGGGTCCTGGATTGCGAGAGGGCACAGGCCGGGCTGAGGGACACCCCCCAGTGCACAAATTTTGTGCACCAGACCTCTAGTATATCCTATATAATGAAAACCTAATATGCAAATTGACTGAACAGCAGAACAACCAGCAGAACGACTGGTCACAATGATGCACACTGACCACCAGGGGGCAGACGCTCAATGCAGGAGCTGCCCCCAGCTCATAGGCCCCAGGGCAGTCAAGGCGGGTGCCAGCAGGGGGCCCCCCCGATTGCCCCGCTGGTCACTCTGCAGATTTGCCCTGATTGCCGGCCAGGCCTAGGGACCCTACCCATGCACAAATTTTGTGCATCGGGCCTCTAGTATATAAATAACCAGGATGAAATTTGCTCAGTTAATTTTTATGTTCTTTGACAAAGATCTCTGCTCTATTAATTGTACAAATTATCCTAAAACATTGTGGCTTGTGCACTTACTGCCCATCAGTTTGGCAAGCCTGTCACGTTGAAATACAACACAGAGATGCCCTTGCTGTAATTGCTATCCTCTGCTGAAGTGGCCACAGATTATTATGAGTCACCCTGCGACAGTTCCCTGACATAGACGACAACAGCAA